GTGTCCCAGAGATTCTGGTATGTTGTGTCTTCGTTCTCCTTGGTTTCGAAGAACCCCTTTATTTCTGCCTTCATTTGCATTGTTTATCGAGTCAACATTCCAGAGCCAGTTGTTCAGTTTCCATGAAGTTGTGTGGTTCTGAGTTAGTTTCTGAATTCTGAGTTCTAATTTGATTGCACTGTGGGCTGACAGACTGTTATGATTTCTTTTCTTTTGCATTTGCTGAAGAGTGATTTACTTCCAATTATGTGGTCAGTTTTAGAGTAGGTGTGATATGGTGCTGAGAAGAATGTATATTCTGTGGATTTGGGGTAAAGAGTTCTGTAAATGTCTATTAGGTTTGCTTGGTCCAGGTCTGGGTTCAAGTCCCGGATGTCCTCGTTAATTTTCTGTCTCATTGATCTGTCTAATATTGACGGTGGAGTGTTAAAGTCTCCCACTATTATTGTGTTGGAGTCTAAATCTCTTTGTAGGTCATTAAGTATTTGCTTTATGTATTTGGGTGCTCCTATATTGGACGCGTATATATTTAGGATCATTAGCTCTTCTTTTTGCATTGATCCTTTTACCATTATATAATGCCCTTCTTTGTCTCTTTTGATCTTTGTTGGTTTAAAGTCTATTTTATTGACTAGGATTGCAACTCCTGCTCTTTTTTGCTCTCTATTTGCTTGGTAGGTCTTCCTCCATCCCTTTATTTTGAGCCTGTGTGTATCCTTGCATGTGAGATGGGTTTCCTGGATACAGCACACCAATGAGTTTTGACTTTTTATCCAATTTGCCAGTCTGTGTCTTTCGATTGGAGCATTTAGCCCATTTACATTTAAGGTTAATATTGTTATGTGTGAATTTGATCCTGTCATTTTTATGCTAGCTGGCTGTTTTGCCCATTAGTTGATGTAGTTTCTTTATTGTGTCGATGCTCTTTACCATTTGGTACGTTTTTGGAGTGGCTGGTACTGGTTGTTCCTTTCTATGTTTAATGTTTGTTTCAGGAGCTCTTGTAAAGCAAGCCTCGTGGTGATGAAATCTCTGAGCAATCGCTTGTTGATAAAGGATTTTATTTCTCCTTCACTTATGAAGCTTAGTTTGGCTGGATATGAAAATTCTAGGTTGAAAGTTCTTTTCTTTGAGGGTGTTGATTATTGGCCCCCACTCTCTTCTGGCTTTTGTAGGGTTTCTGCTGAGAGATCCGCTGTGAGTCTGATAAGCGTCCTTTTGTCGGTAACCCAACCTTTCTCTCTGGCTGCCCTTAGCATTTTTTCCTTCATTTCAGCCCTGGTGAATCTGATGATTATGTGCCTTGGAGGTTGCTCTTCGTGAGGAAATTCTTTGTGGTGGTCTCTGTATTTCCTGAACTTGAATGTTGGCTTGCCTTGCTAGGTTGGGGAAGTTCTCCTGGATAATATCCTGAAGAGTGTTTTCCAGCTTGGATTCATTCCCTCTATCACATTCAGGTACACCTGTCAAACATACGTTAGGTCTTTTCACATAATCCCATATTTCTTGGAGACTTTGTTCATTTTTTTTAGTCTTTTTTCTCTAATCTTGCCTTCTCGTTTTATTTCATTGAGTTGACCTTCAATCTCTGATACCCTTTCTTCTGCTTGGTCAATTTGGCTATTGAAACTTGTATATGCCTCGTGAAGTTCTCGTGTTTTTCACCTCCATGAATTCATTTGTATTCCTCTCTAAGCTGTTTATTCTTGTTAGCATTTCATCAAACCTTTTTTCAAGGTTCTTAGTTTCTTTGCATTGGGTTAGAACATGTTCTTTTAGCTCAGAGAAGTTTCTTATTATCCACCTTCTGAAGCCTGTTTCTGTCAATTCATCACACTCATTCTCCATCCAGCCTTGTTCCCTTGCTGGTGAGGAGTTGTGATCCCCTGGAGGAGGAGAGGCATTCTGGTTTTGGGTATTTTCATCCTTTTTGCGCCGGTTTCTTCCCATCTTTGTGGATTTATCTGCTTGTGGTCTTTGTGGTTGATGACTTTCAGATGGGGTCTCAGAGTGGCCATCCTTTTTGTTGCTGATGAAGTTATTTCTTTATGTTTCTTAGTTTTTCTTCTAACAGTCTGGCCCCCCTGCTGCAGGACTGCTGGAGGTCCACTCCAGACCCTGCTTGCCTGGGATCACCTGCAGTGGCTGCAGAACTGTAAAGGTTGCTGCCAGTTTCTTCTTCTGTTATCTTTGTCCCAGAAGGGTACCCATCAGATGTCAGCCTGAGCTCTCCTTTATGGGGTGACTCTTTGGTTATACAGGGGTCGGGGAGCTGCTTGAGGAGACAATCTGTCCCTTATAAGAACTGAAGTGCTGAGCTGTGAGCTCTGCTATTCTGTTCAGAGCTGCTGGGCATGTACTTTTAAATCTGCTGCAGCGGAACTCATAACCACCTTTTTTTCCCAGGTATTCTGTCCTGGGAAGGTGGGGCTTTATTTATAAGTTCCTGTCATTCTGCTGCCTTTTTTTCAGAGATGCCCTGCCCAGCAAGGAGGTAACCTAGTCACAGTCTGCCAGCACAGGCATTGCTGAGCTGCCGTGGGCTCTGTCCAGTTGCTGTGTAAACTTCCTTCCAGTTTTGTTTGTAGGGTTATAGGTAGAACTTCAGTAATGGCGGACTGCCTCTGAAATGGCAGACTGCCTCGGTAGTGGCGGACTGCCTTGAGTAATGGCAGATGCCCTTCCCCTCCACAGAGCTGGACTGTCCCGGGTCCAGCAGTGCTTGCTGTGAAACTCTTAAGCCAGAACGTTTCAGATTGCTGGTCTTTGTAGGGGTGGGACCAGCCAAGCCAGATCACCTGGCTCCCTGTTTCAGCCCCCTTTTTTTCAGTTGAACGGGTGACTCTGTCTCTCAGGCATTCAGGTTGCCAGTTGAAATGGCACCCGGATTTGTGTGAGTTTTTGTGTGGAGACCCGCTGCGCCAGCTGAAACAGCGCTGGAGACTCATGGTGCTTTTCTGCTCAGGAATCGCCTGGTCTGTAGGCAGTAAAAATTCGTTTGGAAATGCAGTGATCACTCACCCTCTGTGTTTTTGCTGGGAACTGCATTCCAGAGCTATTCCTATTCGGCCATCTTGGATCCTCTCCCCGCATAGCTCTTTTAATCAGGTTTTTCAGTGCGTCTGAGTTTAAGAACCAGTAAGAGTCAATAGTGGAAGTCATTACTACAAATTTTAAAATTCAAATTCCATTTTTCTATCATAATATAGTATTATCAAAGAATAAACCTTATGTGTTTAAGTGTTTTTGCTTTCATTAACATTGTATTTTTCCTAATATTGAGAGGATTGGTCTTTAAAAAGTAAAAATTATGTAATGTACCTAATTAATAAAACAGAAAGATAAGGTTCAGTGGCTCACAACTGTGATCCCAGCTACGTGAGAGGCTGAGGTGAGAGGATCGTCTAAAGCCAGGTGTTCAAGACTGGCCTGGACAACATAGCAAGAACCTGTCTCTAAAAGTAGGGAGAGAGAAAGAGGCAGTGGGGAGAGAGAGGGGAAGAGAAGAGAGAGAGAGAGAGGGAGGGTAGGTAGATGAGAGAGAGAGAGATTAGACAGATAGATGATAGTTACATACCTGTAATCCTAGCACTTTGGGAGTTTGAGCCCAGGAGTTCAAGACCAGACTGGGCAGCATGGCAAGACCCTATCCCTACAAAAAATACAAAAAATTAGCTGAGCATGGTTGGCATGTACCTGCCACTTAGAGGTTGAGGTGGGAGGGTCACTTGAGCCCAGGAGTTTGAGGCAGCAGCAGGTCATGATTGTGCCACTGCACTCCAGCCTGGGCAACAGAACAAGACGTTGTCCTCAACAAGTAAATAAGACAAAAAGGATTAAAAGATGGAAACTTTCTAATACTGGGATTCTTTATCCAGGGATAACTTATCCTTTAGACAGAGTAAGCATGTGCCTTGGACCAAGATACATATAGGGATCCACAGAAATATTTTGATTTTTCTTTTAAATCAGAAGTAGTAATGTATATACATGTATGTAATAGTAAACCTTTGCAGTATATTATTTTGTTTTTTCAGATGGGGTGTCGCTTTGTCCCCCAGCTGGAGTACAGTGGCGAGATCTCGGCTCACTGCAACTTCTGCCTTCCAGGTTCAAGGGATTCTCCTGCCTCAGCCTCCTGAGTAGCTGGGATTACAGGCACGCACCACCATGCCCAGCTAATTTTTGTATCTTTTTTTAGTAGAGGCGGGGTTTCACCGTGTTGGTCAGGCTGGTCTCAAACTCCTGACCTCATGATGTGCCTGCCTCGGCTTCCCATAGTGCTAAGATTACAGATGTGAGCCACCACACCCGGCCTATGCAGTATTTTTTTCGAGTTTATACAAATGTATAGAAAATATAGTCATAAATGTATAGAAAATATAATTTTTAGTTTTTGTGGAGGAAGTCCCTTACAAAGGCAAAACGGTTTACGGCCTTGGGAAGTCATGATGTAGCCCTTCTTTTTCCTTCTTAAAGGCTTCCTTCCTAAACATCTTTTATAATTTAATTTCATTCTTCTTTTCCTACACTATGATCTTATGTATACTTAAATTTCCAACTGATTGCTATGTGTATTGAAGCATAGTATCACAAGTGCATACATCAGAGGTGCATGTCCATGAAACAACACCCAGATGGAAAAAATAAGTAATTTTTTTCAGAGTGACATTATTGCATTGTGTCCTCAAGTTCAGAGCAATGTGCTCTGCCCCTAGAATACCGTGATAGCTGCTACACTAGTCAGGAAATTTTTTGTTGTTTTCAAGCATGCAGTGGTAATTATAGCTCACTGTAGCTCACTGCAGCCGTGAGCTCCTGGGCTCAAGTGATCCTCCCAAGTAGCTGGGATTAGCACTCCCAGTCAGGATTTAAATATTCATATTTAAGGTGTATGAAATATGCAAATAATAAAACTGTTTTCCCAGCTTTTCATTAACAAATATTCTCTCTGAGGCAATGTTTGAATTACTCAATTAGAGAAATGTTTTTCCCCTCAGCTCGATGCATTCTATTTCTCATCATTTGGCTCATAACTGGAGGAAGGCACCACTTTTGGTTCTTGCCAAATCTGACTGCTGATGTGGGCTTCATTGACTCCTTCAGGCCTCTGTACACACATGAATACAAAGGACCAAAAGCAGACTTAAAGAAAGATGAGAAATCTGAAACCAAAAAGCAACAGAAGTCTGACAGTGAGGAAAAGTCAGACAGTGAGAAAAAGGAAGATGAGGAGGGGAAAGTAGGACCAGGAAATCATGGAACAGAAGGCTCAGGAGGAGAGCGGCATTCAGACACGGACAGTGACAGGAGGGAAGATGATCGATCCCAGCACAGCAGTGGAAATGGAAATGATTTTGAAATGATAACAAAAGAGGAACTGGAACAGCAAACAGATGGGGATTGTGAAGAGGAGGAGGAGGAAGACAGTGATGGGGAAACACCTAAATCTTCACATGAAAAATCATAATCTGACTAATTTGGGGACTGATTGAATAAGTACAAGAGGTTGGATTTTCTATGTTGGCTGATTATTATATTAAACACATGGCATTTGTAGCATTCTTTAAATTCTGTTTACTGAAATGTATTTGACATTCAAGCAGTTATATTCAGTCCTTCATTTTATAGAATATTGGCACTATTATTGGTACAGTTTAAAGCCATTAATACATTTTATCCATTTGATAATTTTACAGTAAGTAGGTCTCATTCATTTTGACAGTTATCAAATATGTACTTTCCACAGTTAAATTTACATTGGCATTTTTGATAGTGGTATGGCTTTTTACTGTTAGACTAATCAAAAATAACTTTAAAAGGAACAAAGAAACTCCAACATTTCAGATTATGCATAGTTATGTAGCCATTTCACAGTTTCTTTAAGATGCATAAATTCATTGTTCTTGATAGTTAAGCTTTTATTTTTCGTTATAAAATTATACCAGGAAATTTCTTAAGACTCCGAGTTAGCAGAGTTCAAAACTGTTTTATGGAAACAAGCCAACTAGTAACAATCCAGCAACACTTCTAGTTTAGCTAAATCCTTTTTCCAATGTAGGAAATCCACACCGATTTGTACGTCTGATTCAGAGAAAGATGGTCATCTCCAACAGAGAAGGGGAACAGCACTGGTTGGAAGGTGATGGCTCTCCCTCCTCCCTCCCTCCCCAATTCGTTGTCGTAAAGTAAAGTGTATTCTGTACATAATTTACAAATAAAACATTTTATTTTAATTGTTACTTATTATTTAGATATTTCTCAACCCTTAAATTCGTAAAATTAAGACCATGTAAGGGTATGTTTTTAGAGAAATGGAAGTTTCAGTAACCCACAACATCTATGATCTTTCTACAGCAGCTTCAGTTTTGTGCCAACATTCCATGTATTTTGAATATGAGCAAAAACTGATCTTTATTAAATAAGAGCAGACTTAAAGTAGCTTTGTACGCCTTAATGTTTATTTTGATTTATTTTAAACCTTTACATTCAAAAATGAGATACTGTATTATCAGACCAGGAGGCATTGCTGTGAAAGATAATTTCCTATTCTAAAATACCAAATTTAAAATAAAGATAATAAAATAAAACAGAGAACTATTGGACTCTAATTGCTTTGAACTAGTTTTGCAGTTTGATTTTATGTCTTGTACATCTTAGTTACAAGTCTTTTGGAAAACTCTTGTTTACTTATGAGCATAATCATTCCTTGGAGTAATACTTTTATAAACTAATAATGAATATTAAATGATTTTCCTTCAGTCACAGTGAGAGCATTTTGCTTTGTGGTTTAAATAGGTAGTGTATGTAAGTCTTTTCTTTAGGCTGTTTCTCATCTAAGTGTTTGAATTGAAGATGTTAAATTTTTCTAATTGTGAAAAATACATTTTTTGTATCATTGACACATTTATTATTAAACATGGCTTGATTCCTTCTTTATAGTAGTCCCTGTAAGTGGACAGAAATATGGCTATTGATGTTAATGCAACTATGTCAAGGCTGCAGTCACTTTAAGAGTTCATTTTTAGCGAATGTTCGTTAAGTGCCTGGGTATTTTCCCCTCCCACTCTCAGAGCTCTACTACTTTATTTCCACAGTAAGCATATATATAATGATGGTTTCTGAGTTTCTTTACAGTAACATTGATACCTATTTTGGGGTATAAAAGTGGTGTTTTTTCAGAAATGAAAATGATTTTATTCACTTTTACTTTTCTTTGATCATACCCAGGCACTCAATATTTATCCTGAAATTTTTTATAATATATGTACTTTGTTCTAGTCTTAAAGACATTTGGAGCATGGCCAACAGGAAAGTCAGCTTCTTACTGATGTGTGTGGATTCTTACAGAATGTTAGTACAAATTTTTATAAATATTTGGTGATCCCTGGGGGGAAATATCATTCTTACTACGGTTAGAAAGTGAATTAGAAATTTCAGCTCAGTTTCTCTTTTACTATTCAAGTTGTGTACTTTAAACAAATATAAAAATCAAAGGCTGCCTCTACTACAGTCCTCAGTGGAATAGATGGCTGTCTTTCTTGGCTAACATTAAATATTCTTGTACCAGAGCATGGAAAGTTATTTATAATTGTTAATAGAATGGTGATTTTTTTTAAAAGAACTTCAGATTTGCTATGCTGCTGTAAGTAGAAGCACGAAGCTTTTTGATCATGTAGGGTTTATTGTAGAGGGTATCAATTGGCCTAACTAAGCAGGATTGAATTTACCAGAGGCTAAATTCAGATGGTAAGAATAATGCGTATGTGATTGTTCTTAAAGTCAATGTATTAAATAAGGTATTTTTCCTTTTCCCTCTTACTGGATTCTTTAATTTTCAAACCATATGTCCTAGATAGCGTTAATGAAATAATATAGATTTAGTTGAATACTATTCAGGAAGTAATAAATTTTAATATATCACGTTGAAATTATGCAGTGGTGATGGATTTTGGTGTTTCTTCCCTCTTTCTGGTTTTACATCATGAGTATCAATTAGCTTCTGACAAAAAAAAATCTTGTGTCTTTTGTAAATTGAATTTTTTTAAATCTTTATTAGGAACTGGAAAACAGCAAGTATGGTTGATTCTCATTTTCAAGATAGTTATGTTCTGTAAAGTCACTGCAAACACTGAATTAGCAAATACAGAACCTAGGGGAAATACAGGGCTAGGCTTCTGCAAGCCACTGGTCACATTTTCATCAAGCAGTCAACACGTAAGTTTCTGTTGTAAAGACACCTTATTTAATACAGTTGATTCATTAACACTGAAGTCATGACCAACAACACTGTAACTCATGCCTGAATGAAGCTTATCTGACACAGAAGCTTCATAAGGCACATAACAGCCTTTTTGCCCTTAGCACTATGCTTGGGGGCCATTTTAAACAATGAAATAAAAAAAGAAAACAAATGCAGAAACCGTGGTATTCAAGTAAAAAGGACACATTTACAGTATGAGAGCTGGAACATGGCCTTGTTCAACCTCAGCGGAGAATATGTTGAAGCTCAGCAAGTTTTCTGCCGCACTGCAAAATTCAGGTTAGGCAAATTCACAAATACGGAATCCGCGAATAACGAGGATCAACTGTACCAACTGTACTTAACTATGTTTTAAAGCTGTGACATTTATCTACCTGGTTTATGGAATAGAATTTTTTGCTGAATCATGCTCTAGTATTTTGAGTGACATTTTAAATATCCTATATCTGAAAGTAATTCCTAATTGTGTAGTAGATGATTTGCTTTTACTGTTTCAGGTCTCTGTTTATTCACTCAGTAATACTGAGCAGTTAACCATGTACCAGAATTTTACTAGGCACAACAATGAATAAAAATACAATTCTACCCTCTTGTACCATCAAATAGCGTGTTAAGTGCTACAGCAGCAATTTGCCACATATGCAGGATCTGTTTTTTCCCTCCAGCTCCACTCTGCTTTCTGCCCACAAAGCTGACCTGAATGGACCACTCCTGTGCCTCCGATGCCTCCTGGCTTCTGAGTGGGTTTGGCCAAGGAATGTCTTGACCAGAGATCAGAAGATGGTAGGGTGCCTATTTCTTGGCTCTTCTCCCTGGGTTGGGGGGCTGCCTCAGCACTCAAAGGTCACTTCTCCCAAACTCCTCCCCGGCTTTCCAGGTTGCCAGTCCCTGCACTCTTCCTTTCTGGCCAAGGATGATGTCAGTTCTGCTGCCACTGTCCTGGAATTGCTGAAGCTACTGTGTTTCCTCTGTGGGTAGCCTATACCTATACTTCTGTATAATATCTCCTCATAACATCATAAGGAAAGAACCATCTGTTTCTTATTGGAACTCAGACCAATACCAAGGAGAAATTCCTAGGGAACAAAAATTCCAGTGAAGAATTACCTCTGTCAGATCCTTATCACCAAAGATTAGAAAAGATCCCATAACTTTATACAGCATGTTGTAAGAATTTCAGTAACTAAAATCCTGTTCTAGTGGATGTCATGCACATAACTACACAAGGAGATGACTTTAAATTTGTCTTCTTTGGCAAGCCCTTAAACCAATAGCTAAAGCATTTAGTTGTGAGTTTCTGAGTAGGTACCAATGCATTTATTTCTTTTGTCCAACCTAGCATAGAGACCCTTTGAGACTTTAATTACATGGCTGTTCAATTCAGACGAAATGTCAGTCTGAGAAAGGACATCTTTCCTGAGGTTTATAGTTTTAGGGTTGTCCAAAAGGCCTATGATCTCTTCTTAGCTGGACAGAAAGAGGAAAAGATAAGTTAAATTTCAAGGGGGTCAGATCATCACACTTTGGTCTCATGTCATTTTCAGTGATTTCCTAGATCACTTTAAGTTTTTGTGTCATGGACTCCTCAGAGTAATGCTTTTTTGTTTGTTTTGAGATGGAGTTTCACTCTGTCTTCCAGGCTGGAGTACAGTGGCAAAATCTCGGCTCACTGCAACCTCCGCCTCCTGAGGGTCAAGTGATCCTTTTACCTCAGCCTTCTGAGTAGCTGGGATTACAGGCACATGCCACCACACCTGACTAATTTTTGTGTTTTCAGTAGAGACAGGGTTTCGCCATGTTGGCCAGGCTGATGTTGAACTCCTGACCTCAGGTGATCCATCCGCCTCGGCCTCCCAAAGTGCTGAGATTTCAGACGTGAGCCACCATGCCCAGCCAGAATAATGTTTTTAAATGCAGAAAAGAAATCCATGGGGTTACAAAGGAAACCAATTACACTGAAGTGTGAGCTACCAAAATATGTTGTTTTGTGATGTGGTAGTTATAGGTGTACATTTAATAGCCAGATCTATGAGTGTATGTAACAACTGCTACGGTGTTGAAGTAGCATAAAACATATATTAGATCTCTGCAACAACTGTGGTGTAACATGAAAATACCTGATTTCTGTTGACAAAGTCAGCTACTAGCTAGTACAACTGTGGATTGTTGTCTGCACTCGTCATTGAAGGAAATACTAAGTTTTAGTTTTAGGCTAGTGAAATTAAAGTTAGTTTTTCCCATCCAAGTTCATGTGTCTTCTGGATTCTATCCTTGAATCCCTTAGAGGTCTGTGAATTCTAGGTTAAGAACCCTTGCCCTAGCTAATCAGATCCACCAATGTTTCAAATAGGACTATAACATATTCAAAGGCCAATGATACTTAGCATAAGTCAATTTTAATAATATTCACATTTCATGTCATAAATTTCATTACATGTGTTAATGTGATGTTTTGTTTTGATAGATTATATCTTACTCCTAAATAAAAAAGTCAAGATTTTTATAGCAACTTCTATTTATTTTATGTATTTATTTTGAGATGGGGGTCTCTTTATTCTGTCACTCATGCTGGAGTATAGTGACATAATCAAAACTCACTATAGCCGTGACCTCCTGGGCTCAAGCAATCCTCCCACCTCAACCTCCCAAGTAGCTTGGAGTACAATTGCATGCTACCACACCCAGATAAGTTCTATACTTTCATAGAGATGGGGTCTCCCTATGTTGCCCATGTTGGTTTTGAACTCCTCTTGCCTTGGCCTCCATGTGAGCTGCCACGTCCAGCCTGAAACATCTTTTAAACGGGAGAAGCAGAACAGGATCTTACCAACACTAAGATTATCTTCCAGTCACTTGACAAACATTTGTGGAGTGATTACTATGTGCAAAGCATTGTGCAATCACAAAACTCAAAAAGCAAATGTAGTAAGATAAGTATTCATGCAGACAGTGGCACCCATGTTGTATAATGTCACGAGTATCTTTGATATGCTTATAGGATCACATAAATAATGCCCAGCCGAGATTTGGAAGGTCAGGAAAGGCATCCCATAGAAGTGTCATGAGCTAGATCCTGGAGAATGAGTTGGTATTAGCCAGGTAAAGAATAGAGCAGTTCTGGGCCAATGCAGCAAGATGTGCAAAATAAGACAACAGGGTGAGCATGGCATCTCCTGAAACAAACTAGTTAAGGTGCAGCTAGAAAAGAGATGAATTTAGAGAGGGATACAGGTGGCAAGTCATTGCCCAGAATCCCTTCCTTTAGGAAACTACTCCTTTCCCTTCTGTGGCGCTCCTCATTCCATTCCAGGGTGACTGGCCTCAAGGAAGAGCACCCAGTTCACACCAGGTCAATTGAAGTCTTATTTCCTCAGGGATCTTGAATTCTAAGGACCATGTGGACCTGAAGAAACTGATGGCTATGTTGCCTTCACTGAATGGAGCCTGTCTAGAAATAGAGCCGGCATGAAAAAAAAAAAAAAAAAAAAACCAGAACCAAGGGATGGATTGGGAAGACAAGGCCTTAATGCCATCTTTGAATTCCTAAATCTAGCCTGGCCTAAAGCCATTCCTGGACTTTTCAGTTGCATGAGCCAACAGATTCCTTGTTTTTTCTTATTTTGAATGAGATTTCTGTCACTGGGAACTGAAAGATGACTGAGTTGCACACAATAAGTATGAACAGTGACACTAAAATACCTTTGGAGGAAATTGACTCAAAGCAGGAAAGTGACGCATTGAGATTTGCATCTTAGACTACACTAATCACATAGAAAATGGCCTGGCAAGGGGCAAGCTTAGATATTCTCTGGATACTTCCAGTATTTCTCAGATTTATATATGCTAACCACAACTCCCCTCTTATTGTTAAAACAAATTGTTTTCTTATTACAGAAAAATAAAAAACTTATAAGCACAAACAACCAGAAAACTCTCAAACCTACTATCTTAGACCATTTTGTGTGGCTACTACAGAATACCACAGACCACAGACTGTAATGTATAAAGAAAAGAAGCTGACCAGGCACAGTGGCTCACACCTGTAATCCCAGCACTTTAGGAGGCCGAGGTGGATGGATCACCTGAGGTCAGGAATTTGAGACCAGCCTGGCCAACATGGTGAAACCCTGTCTCTACTAAAAATAAAAAAAAAACCTAGCTGGGTATGGTGGTATGCACCTGTAGTCCCAGTTATTCGGGAGGCTGAGGCAGGAGAATCACTTGAACCCAAGAGGCAGAGGTTGCAGTGAGCTGAAATTGTGCCATTGCACTCCAGCCTGGGCAACAGAGTGAGACTCTGTCTCAAGGAGAAGAAAAAAAAAAAAATTTATTTGACTCATGAGTTTGGAGGCTGAGAAGTCCAAGAGCATGGCATTGGGATCTGGTAAGGGCTTTCGTGCTGCACCCCATCGTGGAAGGCAGAGGGCAAGAGAACATGAGAGCCAGTGAGCAAGAGGGGGCTGAAATGCTTTTAGAACAAGCCCGCTCGCATGATAACATTAATGCGTCTGTGAAGGCAGAGCCCTCATGGCCTAATCTCTTAAAGGTCCCACCTCTTAATACCATCACAATGGCAATTAAATTTCAGCATGAGTTTTGAGGGGGACATTCAAACCATAGCACCTACCTCCAGAGACAACTACTGCTAAAATTCATATATTTCCTTCTATAGCTCTTAGATGTGTAACATGTATATGTTCACTGAGGTGAGAAGATACTAAATTGGATCATACCATGCATACTTTATACTAAGAGTATTCAGAAATTGATGATCTGGAAAAGGAACATGTTATGTGAAACCAAAGACAACATTTTTTCAGAAGAACAAATATTGGCCAGCTTATGATTTTAAATTCTATTTCTGCTCACCAACTTCAAGCTTCAGAATGTGAAGTTAAGTTATCCTTAGACTAACCATGTAGTAAATGCATGTTACAAAGTATTTCACATTACAGTGTTCTTAATGATCAACATTCAAGGGAATTAGAAGGAAGAATTTATGATTACCTTGTCATGTCCTCAAATATATACACCTTTTACAATTATGGCCTTTGTACTGCAAAGAAAAATATAAAGGGCAGTAACAAGTAAATTAGTGCACAAGAGTAATTAGTAAATTAGTAAATTGAAAATGAGCAATAATTGCAGAAACTGGTCTGTACTTACAGTCTGGACAATATCTGACAGACTGCACAGATATAAAGCGTGGTTGGATACCATCCAAAGCACAGTAAGTTGCATCTCTATTCCTTCTCCCTAGTTGCATACACTTTACAAGGTTTACAAAATTGAAAACCTACTCTTTTTAACTTCTTTCCTCATTGTCCTTTAATACAAGAACCATCAGGATTCTCTACTTTTCAATCGCATATGCTG